TTGTACAGGTAAACCTTTTTATTGCTGTAATGTTGTACCAGCTGAGCTAAATTGATTAGATTTAAATTATTCTCAAGAAGTCTCTAACTCCTTACTGTTGGAACCACAGACTTCAAAGACCGACTTGTTCTTCTCCTTCCTGCCTCCTTAAAATCACTAAAAAGAAGCAACTGTCAATAAGACAGAATATACAATGGCATTTTTATTTTTAGGGGAAAAAAAATCGAATTCCGACTTTATAATGGATTAAAGGTACAAATTATCTTGATGTTATTTACTGTGGTCTTTTTTCAACTGCTGAGTGATACACATCAGCAAGAAGAAATATTTTTAGTGTAAAGGCAGTAACAGAATCTTCTGTCAGCTTATGAGGATCTGAAATATAAACATTGTTACATGATATGAAACAATGTTCCTTTTGTACGTTTGCCATCTACATTTCCTGTGAAATACTTGCTTATAGTTCATGCTGTGGATTTGGTCTTAAGAACACAGTGACTATCTCTTAGAATCACTTCTTTCTAAAGGATCCATCTCTTCCTTTTGTCAGAAGAATGTCTATGAAAGAACTTCTTTGGGCTATTTTTGCGCTGTGATATCATTACCATGATTGCTACTGCTGGGAAGTGTCATACAGAGCAGTTATAACACCACACAGGTCATGTATTTTGCTCAAAGCTTTTATCTTTGAGCAAAGATGGTTAAGCATTGGAACAGGCTCCTCAGAGAGCTGGTTGGGTCACCATCCCTGGAAGTGTTCAAAAAACAAGTAGACGTGGCACTTTGCGATATGGTTTAGTGGGCAAGGTGGTATTCAGTCAAAGGTTGGGTTGATGATCTTGGAGGTCTTTTACAACCCTAATGATTCCATGATTATTTGATTCCATCTGTAGCCATTTACAGCCATTACAGGTTAGACATAATTCCTATAGATATATATGTAAAACGCACAGGACCTATAGGTGAAATACTTAATCAGCTTTTCATTAATTACATATGGCTATTGATGCTTCAAATAAGGTGCAATTTGGTATTATGGAGGACAGGTTCAGATGGTGTAAGAAACACAGTGAAGGCTCGAAGCTTTCACCTTGAAGCTCATTCAAATCATCTTTACTCACAGGATATCTACATCCTATTTTGCAGGAGGACCAGCAGTTGTCCTGAATGCATTTTTGAACAAACAATCCCTATGGAGGGGGTCAGCAAAGTGCTGAGCTAAAAAATTCCTAGAATACTAACATTTAAATTTTTTGACTAAGAACAAAAGCTCTATTCTGTGTGAGAAATGTACCTGGCAGGA